CCTCCAGAAAACAGGAAATCAATTCCAAATTAATATCAAGAACACGAAATTCACCACCCATAACTTAACACAAATTAGTGAATTAGTTTATTGTGACTTTTGTGTATGAGAGAGCGATGGTGTATGCGTATGTGTGTGTGTTTGTTCTATGTGTGGTGCGTGGGTGTGCATGCGAAAACTGAGAGTTTCGAGGAGGGGATGAGTTGCCGGGGGGTTGTATGTTTGGGGCATGATGCGTAGAGAAGGGAGGGGTGTGTGTGAAGAGATTGTGCATAGAGAGTGAGGGAGTTAAGGGGTGGGGGGATCTGTGTTTGTGTGTGTGTGTGTATGTGTGGTAGCAGAGGATGGTGGCGCTGGCGATGCAGAGAGAGAATGATAAAGGGAGTTTGAGTGAAAAAACTATTAAAAACAACATATCTATAAACAACTACTAATAAAAAATATAAACTAATCATGCACGATTAATAGAAGATGAAACTCTCCAATTGCATCGCACAATCATCTATTCCAACCTTCCATAGTATGGACAATGTCTAAAAGTACGACACTGCTTGATCATGACAACGGTGATCACCAGCATATAATGAGATTTAGATGAGTGGCAATTACAAAAGCCTTGTGAATGATAATTTTTCATTATATCAAGCAGCTAAGATAGAACATCCTTACGTTTACAACAACACTTTTAAAGCACTTGTTAGTGCCACATGCAAAAAAAATAATAATTGAGGATAACCATGTTGACTTCAATTTAGTTGTTTACTTAAGTTCTTTTAGAGTCCAAGGATCTTTGGCCAATCAAAAATTCAAGTAAAACCATCTAGAAGTCACATTATAATAAGTGTTGGGAAAAAAAATATTGTTAATGATTCGAGCCAAACATAAGCTTCTTGAGAAAACATTGCTAAGCAAAGTGCATAACATTCCTCATTATGCAATGATCATCAAACGAACTCAAACAAATCACTCATCCCAGATACTTCAAAAGAGTCAAAATCATTGTAAAAAAAGTCTAGTAAAAGTGAAGAATCAAAATTTTCAATCACTTCAATTCCCCAATTTTTGGGACTGGAAAAATGACTTGAATAGCATACACGCAGCCCAACACAAGTACATGTGAAGTGATGTAGGGGTAGCTGCCTTCGTTTCTTCCACAGATTGCAAAAGCATGTGTATTAGTGTATTAAGGAAGCAGTTGAATAAACATTGTGATTGTAGATTCAAGAAGCAAAATGAAAATAGAATTGCTCATTGCAGATAGAGTAGAGAAGCAAGAAATTTCTACACCATTTCTTTTATTGCAAAAGAAAGAAAAATGTACGCCTGTGGCATACCAATTGTCTTTGTACCGATATAAGGGGCATCCCCAATCCAAAATTAGGAATCACTAAAAGCAATACTTGAAAAAAATTCAAGAGACAACACAAGTAAAAATGTAAACTTTACTAGCCCACATAAGTAAACAAGGCCAACACAAACAATTAAAGCTTTTGGCGGCTAAGAAAATGAAGTAAAAATAATAAAACTTATCACAAACTTTAAGAGTATAATTAAATTGAATTTTTCATCATTCACATACCAAAAACTTTGAACAATGCATAAAACCAAAAAAACCCCACAAAAAAAGTACAAAATTTCCTTTTTTCCCTTTTTTTTCAATTCTCAGACAAATCAAACAACAAATCAAGTGGCAATCCTACAAAGTTCGGGAGAGATTTCGAAGTGCCCACTTTTAGAATTGCACATCAAGGAGAAAAATTTAACTAAGAAACAACTGATAAAAAATGGACGCCCACCTAAAAAGAAACCTAAAAGTCAAGAACAAAACAAAGCACAAATTAATGCATCCACTATTTTTATCAACATACTCTTCTCTTAAGTTCAATACCCATTTCTAAGTTTAACTAAGGTAGATTTCAAGTTTGAAGGAAGAAAACCTACAAAGTTTGTGCCCTTCCATTCTCCTCCTTCTCCATCGCCTACTAAAACAGAATTTCGAAAGTAGCTTGACACATAAGTGAGAGAGAGAGAGAGAGAGAGAGAGAGAGAGAGAGAGAGAGGGTTTGGCTTGGGTAGAGAAAGAAACAGAGAGTGTTAGGTGTCGGGTGTGTTGCTAAAGTTGGGTGGGATTTTGTCTATGTGGGATGCATTGTGAGCCTTTGGATTAAATTGGAAGAATTGAGATGAAATCTAAAGCACTGAGCTAAAATTAGATCAAATTGGAACCACTAATGTGGTAAGCTAACTTTGGGAATTCAAATTCAGCTCTATCTTATTATTATAGATTTTAGCATGAAGAACACCTACAAAGTTTGTGCCCTTCCATTCTCCTCCTCCATCACCCTACTAAAATAGAATTCCGAAAGTTAGGCTACCACATTAGGGAGTAGGGATGTCAGTGGACCGAAGCGGGGGCGAAGAGTGCAGTCTTCATCCTCGTACCCGCTTAAAAAAATTTCGTCCATCCCTGTTAATGGGTATAGTTTTCATCCCCATCCTTGTCTGCGAGTAAATTTTTAATCCCCTTCTCCGTCCTTGCTTTCCCCGTACCCACTTAAGCCCAAGCCCAAGCCCAAGCCTAAGTAGGATAATTCAAAATTCTAAATAAATCTAATATTTTAAATAATCCAACAACATTCTAAATAATCTAACAAAACATAATGTAAATTGTAAAATGTAAAAGCCAAAACAATATAGTATTCTGTTTAAAGTGTCATTGGACCACAAAAAGAGAAACGGAACTATTAGAGAGAAAGGAAAATAAAATTGAACTAAGAAAACAATAGCACTACACTTAAAGTTTCCTAGAAGAATTGTTGTTATTACAATTTATATTATAGCCATAAAGTGTTAAAAAATGAAAAATTAAAATTTCGCTAATTCAATAATTCTATTCACGATGAAATGCAAAACTATCTTACTCTCTCTTATCTTTTTTTAGAGCATGGTCAATCCAAATTCCTAACAGTTTCAATTAGTGAGCACACATAGAAAAAAGAACAATCAAGGAAAAAAGTTGATAAGATTATCACATAGCAATGACACTTATTAGTTTGATCACCATATTTCTAGATTGATAATTACAGTAAATATGTTAAATTAGGATTTTGGAGTATATATATATATAACGGGTAGCAAGGGTGGGGGTAAGGGTAAGTCCATCCCCGCCTTCATTCCCGTACGGATTTATATGGGTATTTTCGTAAACGTCCACAATCCAATACGTATAGTCCATTCCCGGTCCAAATAGGGCAGATTTAGACGAATTTCTGTTTTTCCTCGGTCCATTGCCATCCCTATTAGGGAGAGAGAGAGAGTTTGGCTTGGGTAGAGAGAGAAACAGAGTGTTGGGTGACGTGTGTGTTGCTAAAGTTGGATGGGATTTTTTTGTGGGGGATGCATTGTGAGCCTTTGGATTAAATTGGAAAATTTGCATGAAATCTGGAACATTGAGCTAAACTTAGATAAAATCGGAACCACTATTGTGAACCTATACAAACTACAAATGCCTCATATGATTAAATGCTGCAACTTTCCCAATCTTGACTATGTGACTGAAAAGCATTCAAGTAGAAAATGTATCTATGTGGTTCCACTAATAGTGATCACTCTTCCCTCATCCTTGCATTATTATCTGTGAATCAAATTAGTACTTTGAAGAACTATATGCATTGAGTCACCCCTCGATTACTTGTTTCTTTGCTGATGTTATTTTATTGCAGTTGTCAGTCAGAGTTTGTGATGTTTTTGAATTGCATTGAAGTTGTGTATAATTTGATGCTAATTAGTAATTGACTAATTCTTGATCTTATTCCAGGTACCATCTGTATCGAGATGACGATATTCTGGGGACGCTGCATGACTGAAGTATTGTTAATTCCCCTTATGTTTAAGAATACTTGCCAAGAATTCTATTTACATTTAAGCTACATTTCAGCAAGTCTCAAAATTAGATAAAATTGTAGCAGCCAGACAATCTGATATTATCCAAATTGATTTCGTTAAGGCTGATCACGTACGGTTTATAAGATTCAGGACTTGTGTCCCTATGAGGATCAATTGCTGGGGGCAAATCCACCTCTGATACATTGGCACATGCCCACATCACCATGTTTATCTGTTAGAATTGGTGTTTCCTTTCAATGAGGCTGCCTTGTTTTCTTGAGATGTCGCTCTTAAGATCTTACTTTCAACCATCTAAAAGCTTTTTTAATTCATACTGTAATATCGTAAGAATCAACTTCAAAAGGGTTATGATGCGTAAATGTTTTAGCTAAACTTGTTTTCATTTGAAGTGTGTATTGGTTTCGGCATATTCAAGTAGTATTCCCTGGACAAATAGCATTTCAGCTAGGTAAATCCGCAGTTTCTGAAGTTCGGCAACATCTTCAAATACTTGCTTACTTTACTTAACCTCTTTTGGAGTAAAAGGTTGCCATCTTTTCAACCTACTTTTATGCAATGTATTTATGTTGTGTTGATGTGGACTGTGTGTATTTGGTTCCAATTCGCATACAGTCTTACATATAACCCTTTCAATCGTACTTTGGAAACTTCACACGTCTTAGGCCATGGAGTGGAGGGCCACTGGGCCAGGCTCATGAGCCTTATGTTGATTATAATCGAATTACAGATGGATAATTTAATCCAAATAAAGAACAGTTGTTTTTTTTTTTCTAGACTATAAATATTATGAATCCATGGCAGCATGGATACCTGTTCTCCTGCTTTGGTTTTAGAAAACTTCTTGTAATCTTTGCCGTTCATTAACTTTTGTAATTGCAATTCTTCGGCTATGAAATCTTTCAAACCAAATCGCATAATCTTGTGCATAATAACTTCAGTGATTTGGAGACTGGCAATGGGAAGGTGTCAGCAAATCTCTCTCTCTCTCTCTCTCGCTCTCTCTATGTATCCAGCCTATCTCTCTATCTATCTATCTATATATCTATACATATATATTTGTGTTTGTGTGTGCATGTGCATATGTAAGATGTTGATTCATGTGTAAACATATTTATTGATATTTATAAAGTAATTCATCGCATGAGATATTTATTTTTTTTGTGGATTCAATAGCATGGAGTTGGTTGAATTCTGGTCACACTCATGAATTAATGCAACATCTAAATAATACAACTCAAGATTTCTATAAAAGCAATGAGATTCTATTTGCTCAACAACAAGAAGCTTGGAGTGAATCATTTATTTGAGATTATGACCATTGCTCTTTCTTATTTTTGTCTCGCCATTTGGTTGTGGTCGTGGTAATGGTTTTCCTCCCACAAATGCATTAAACAGAACAAGCGATCTCTCTGGTTGTGAAAATGGAGCTTCATGAGAAGCCCCTCTAATGGTGGCATAAGATAGTCTGTCGGTGTATACTTGCGTCCATCCGGCAACCTAGGAAAATCAAACAAAGTAATCAAAAAACCGAGTTAAAGCAGAAAATTTGGCACCAAGTACTCTATAAGCGGCTAAACAAGCCAGTTCGAACTTGTCCGGAGCTGGGGCCGGTTTTGGCTCGGACAAGCTCGTTCGTATTAAAAAAAAAAATTAATATGATGGTATTTTTAAGTTTGTTTAAAATTTAAGCTGAGCTCGAACAATGAGCACCCCTAGTTGTTGGATATATTGTCTTTCAATAGTAGGTTGGAGTCTGTTTAAATGTGTGTCATGTGCTTAAATTTGAGCTTGTAGTACGAAAATGAGACGAGCCGAACTTGAGAATATGATCAGCAAAACCGAGTCAAGTTTTAGAAAAAAATCCAAGCTTCTTCACTGAACATAACAAAGTTTGAAAAGCTCGGCTTGATTTAACTCCGGGGAAATCAAGTGGAAATGATGGAACTAACCTGCGTCCCCTCAAACCAAACGCTATATGGCACTGTGGTATTTAACCCCATTTCCTTTGCCAATCCATTAACCAGTGCCCGAGTACCAGTCAGTGGGATAACTGAATCTTGATCTCCACTGCGACAAATTATAACATGATAATTCTCAGCATACAACAGACACTTAAAATTGAGTATTTTACAAACAATTGTGCATAAAAATAAGATAAATATGACAAATACAACAAAAACAATTTGTCAAAAGAGGCAACAAATTTTATACTATCCGATTAAATTGCTACCTTTTTTATATGATTGAAGGTGTAATGTGAGATTTTTAATCTTTGAAGATGTAAATTGAGAATTTGAGAATCTTTTAGGGTACAAAATACCATTAATCCATATATATGTGGGTGTGCATGTAATTAAAACAAATAACTCACCTGTAAACCAAGACTCGAAGTCCAGACTTCACAAGCAATCCTAGGATATTTATAGTTGGCTCCTCCAGGTTTTGGTAATCATAATGTAGAACACTGTTTGTCAAAAGTGAGAACAATCGAATTTGTAGATTAATGACATTGCATAGTGAAGGAAAACAAAAATTTCAAGGATAACTACTAACTAGTCAAGTTCTTCAAATGATTGAGTTGACATAAACTAAACTTACTCGCTGCAAATACTCCATCCGGTGACTCCAACAAGCTGAGCATGGAGAGCCTTCTGTACATCTTCCCGATTCAAGTACCTAGTCGTTTCATCCTCCACGCAGACATCTATATTCTCTGTATATTTCTGAAAACAGAGAACAAGACATCCAGAATTAACAAAATTAAAGATTAAAAACAGAGGAAAACAGAGTCTATAAATGTTGAAAATTGAATATGGCATAAAAATTCGAAATTTGACCTCACCATTTGGTTTAGGACCTGGGATTGCAAGAGAACTGATGCCAAACAGACATCGAGAGTGACATCGTACGAGTCGATAAACTTACTAACTTCTGCCGATTCTTGATGTATCACTCTTGAACAAACAGGGGTAAGAGTTCCAGTTTGAAATTGCCTTCTAATTTGAGAATAGTTACAAACGGAAGTAAAGAGATCATAAGTAGAATCTGATATTAATCCATGAGACCACAAGTATTCAGCCTTTGCGTTGAAATCAGTATTGAATTCCAGAAGTGGATTCCCTATCTGCATTCCCAAGAACTCAAAGGGTTAATTTCAAGTCAAAACTTATTCGAGTACATTTTTCTTCTAAACTTTTTTCTTGATGATTTTGATTCTGTTTACTCACTGCTATTCCCTTGAGATTGAGCTGTGCATTGGATTGTATGATGAGGTGGGCTAGTTGTGGCACATAATGCCCTGTCAAGAGAGGGAGTTTTCATGTGGGATTGAACTACATAAAGGCATCAATTCAGTAACTAAATAATACCCCTTGATAGAAAATAACTTACCAGCATAACTCTCTCCAGTGATGAAAAAGTCTCTGTTCTTGTATTCTGGGAATTTGATAAACCACCTTTCGAGAAATACAAGATTGTCTCGTGCTGAAGAAAAGTAAAGAAGTTAATTTCAGACCAAATTGGCTCGTTCTGCTATTAGTACCTCCATATTCCACCGAAAAAGTTCATATTCTTTAGTGGCATTCAAATCTAAGCTATAGAGAAAAGTGGATTTGTCCAGTGGTTGAAGAACTGTCCACTCCCCTCATGGCCTTCTCTTTTCCCCATTCAGGCGAGATCCATTGTTATACATTAAAACAAGCAGCTTATGAGTTGTTTTATGTTTAGGTAACAATGACTTTTAGTATGGTAAGATTATCCATTAATAAATGATAATGGGCTTGATTATGGAAAGGAAACCTGTCATATCATCATTCACAGAGGCATAGAAAGATTTATTAGCAGAATAAGAGAATCCAACTCCTGCGGGTGACTCCAAGTACAACATGTTTGCTCCTGTAGAAGAGAGAAAATTGCAAGTTAGTGATCAGTTTAATCTATGTTATGCATTTAATCTATTAAAATTAAAGTTTTTTTAAAAAAAAAGAATTGATCAACAATGATGGGTACCTTTATTCCAGCTATACTCATTTTTGAGCAAGACATTGCGGCTTGGTTTAAAAGGACCATGTTCACAGAAAGCTCCAGCTCCAACAGATGAACACCCAGGCCCTATAAAATTAGCAATACTGCATTTTCAATTCCCAAACATAATTTAACAGCTTTTGATCCATAGAAATTTCAAGGTTTTGATGCTAATGGGGAGTGAGTTATAATTATATAAATACCTCCATTCAACCAAAGAACAAGTGGCTTTGAAGCTGGGTCAGTTTCTGCTTCAACAAAGTAGTAGAAAAGAGCTCTCTGCTGCTTCTCATCAATGGTGACGTATCCTGCAAATTGCTGGAAACTGACTTGTGGTTGGCCTGGCAAACTTGCAATTTTATCAGCTTCATAGAGGGACTCCACTTGCAGAAACATCTGAATAGCACAGATTGTTGCCATGATTGTCCATCTTGGAGAGAGCATGGTTGAGAGAGAGAGAGAGAGAGAGAAAGAGAGGAGGTGGGGTTGTAGCAGGATGGTGTATGGTATGTCTACTTTAACCAACTGATTGATTGTTAAGTCTTTCATGATTGAAGGATGACTTTGTCTGATTGAAAAATATGGTGAGCGGATAATGCGGTATTGGCCAATGAGTGTGTAACCACTTTGGATTTTTTTGGCTTTTGTACGCTCGTGAGCTTAAAAATGAATCATTAAAAACAAAAGGTTGATCAAAAGAAGAATTTAAAAGTTTTTTGACTACGACAATGCACATATTTCTCATGGGTTATTGGGACCTAAAAATTTGATTTAATTTACTATATAATGATGTGCAAGTAAGTATTAGTGAAGAAGTCCAATCGTAAGAACTACAATAATGATATTGAACCATATCAGTACTACATCATTAAGTCTGCACATTACTAGAACTTTTTTTGTTTAAATTGCAGTACTCATTTCTCATTGTACAACTGCTTTGAATTACTAAAACTTTGCTCATACTTGGAGCATCTATATTAGTACTTTCAACTATTAATAAGTGTTAGAATTATATGGAAACCAATTCAACTTCTTATGGGTTAAAAGAAATTTGAAACAATGATACAAGAAAACTTCAAAGAGAGGGAGGGCTGACCCCTTCACTTCTTAATTGGCAAAAAACATTTAGAAGTAAGGGTGACCAACTAGACTAAACCAATTTAATCAATTCTAGAATCCCGTTTTTAGTAGTCATGTGAAGTTTCATGCCAATTCAAGAGATTTGTCACATAGTTACTGTCACACCAATAGGTCTCTAAGATACACTTGGGTCTGCTATACATAGTTACTGTCACACCATAAAGTTACTAGATAAAGTGTAATGGTTAGTAAAGTGGTAGTCAAAAATGGTTAGTAAAGTAGTTAATAAAATAAAGATGGTCGTCAAAAAGGAAAAATGAAATCTCGAATGACCACTAAAGTGTAAAGGTTTTAGATTGCTTGTCTTGGGACGTTGATTTCGAACTCAAACCCCACTTCGACCATTGGGATACCTCTGACAAAAGTATCATGCTAAGAAAGGCGGTGCCATCTTTCCCCCAGTAGGAGATCTAAAATTCCTAAAAGGGTTTTAGGTGCATTCAAATTTTCTGAAACTTAAGGGGGATTTTTGCATAATTTATCCGACTAAAATTTTGCAAAAAATAATGAAAATGATCAATATTGACATATTCAAAAGGAACTAATCACCATACCCATGCATTGTTACAACTTGTTTTCCAAATAAGGATACTTTTACTTATTTTTCAAATGTATACACTTTCTATGAAGGAATTACACTATTGACCCCTTATCTTTAAACTAATATACTATCTATCCTAAAATAGCATACTATCCAATGCAAAGCCTTTGTAGTTGGCTTCTAAGTTTCTGGGCTAATAATATATCTTTCTTATTAGCAATCTAATTTAAGACTAACTATTCATGAGTTAAATAAAGTTGTTGGTCGTAATTTTATTTCACGTTTTGTTGTGTCGATCTCTCTTTGTAATATAGTCAGATTGTGATATTTAGCATATAAATAATTGAAGAGTTATTCAAGTATATAATCAAAATCGTCTATTGTTTGTACCTTTTAGGGTCTACCTTGCTTCCTCCTCTTTCATCTTTGCTTCTTGAAGTCTGGTTTTTGTTCTTGTTCTTGTATCTTAAGCTAAATTCCAGATACTAGGACTCATCTTCGAGCTACTACAGAAAAAACTTATGGCACCTCTCTTTTGACATGTAGGAAAGACAAGTAAGGTCGTAGAATTGCCGATTGAAGAAATATATCAATGAAGATGCAATAATGAAAGATTTTATTCAATATTTAAAAGATTACAGGGATCATACCACCTCTCTAATAAAAGCTTTACTCACACGTTACACTTCAACATAGTTGCTTGTTTGCTTAACCGTTGTCCACCAGTATTTTTCTCGACCTTGAAAGTTAATTCTATGTAGTCATGTGCTTCTTCATTATTCAACATCCTTCCTGATGTGCCTATTGTTAAATATATTGTCATTACCCAGTCAGTCTTTAATGACTTCTACCCTATCTGTAATACAATCTTGGTTTAAGTAATAACCTCATGGGTGTGTATTCTTTGTCTAATGGTTGAAACTTTGAAAATTGTATTATATCTTCCACAGAATAATAGTTATCAAGTCTAGAGGTTGAAGGAGCTTCTAATCTCACATTATTGTTTAAGTTTATCATTATGTTTCCATTTGTATCAATATATGTGTGGTCGACTTCTCCGGATTCAGTTACGTTTTTCCTCTCCCTTTAATTTTCATGAAGAAGGAAATTTTATTTCTACCCATTCTAAAGTTTTTGAAATATGGGTATGATTTCTTCCATCTATTTGAAATATAACTGCTTAAAATTTTTCAGATGATATTTTATTTGAGGATTAATTTGTAATAGACTGCGTATTCTACAAATAAATTGTTCACAATATCTTTAAAATTGATTCATGACTTTTTAAAGTTAATCTTATCGCATCATGAGCATCTCCAGTATCTACCAGGAAATTTACTATAACATTAAAGTATACTACTTGATAGTTTGTATTTGCTTGTACAGCTCCAAGCAATGATTGATTAAAATTGTTGATTTGGTTGTCTCTTATGATGACTATTAGTGATCCTCCAAAGTGTTTTCTTCCAAATAATTATTCCTACTTGAATTGCTCCTATATAGATATAGTTATATTCGTTTATCTTTGCTTCTAATGTAATATGTTTTGAAATCAACACTATGTTTATTTCTTTTTTTAAGACGCTTTGAGTCATTTCAATCCTTTTAAACCTATGTGAGATTATTTTCTCAAGTGGTCCAATTCTATACAATTGTGAGAAATCAAACCTTGGTAGTTTATAGTTACTTACATCTGTTGTTATCTCCTTTAATTTGTACTCTTCCATTTCTTTTATATCTATTCATTGAGGTTATGATTTTAAAGCTTTGATCATTTTCATAGACTTTATAGCTAATAATGTTTTAGGCTTTATAAATCACACACTACTTTCTGGAAGTTTTTCAATATTGCCTTAATTAACTCTTTTATATCTGTGTATTCTTCTTCTTTTTTTTTTCCTTTAAAAGATTTTTTTATAAATTTTATTTATTTATCTAGATTTTTTGTTGTTTCTTAAATTCTAGATAAAATCTTCCCTTGTTCAATGGTAGACAGCTCAAGAACGTCCCAGAAACTGATCCTCCCATTGGGAATCCCCCCACAAATAACGAGATAGAGGCCCTTCGCCTCGTCAATTAGCCCTTGATAAAGCAAAATGAGGAACTCTTGAAGCTCTTACAGCGCCCACGGGAGGCACGTTCGGCCCAAGAAGGTTAGAACAGTCCCCATTACAGGGATCAACAACACCTCGATCCACTCAGAGAAGACAACAAAGGAGGAGAGAACAGTCAAACCCTGGGGCAGATTCCCCAACTACCCCCTAGGAACAACCACAATGACGAAGTACAAAGTCAAAACCAGAAAGGTGAAAAGAATGATGTCTTCCCTTATCAGTAGGAGAGAAGGGAGCAATATTGGGAGTAACGCTTCAAGGGCATCCAACAGGAGCTCAGCCACATGAAGGAAGTAGTCATAAGTAAAGCTCCAGTTACAATGGATGCCTTGGTGCAGCAGACTAAATCTCCATTCACGCCTAGGGTGTTACATTTTTCTCTCCCACCAAAGTTCAGGATGCTACAGATAGAGTCCTTGGATGGAACCAGGAACCCCATGGACCACCTCAATACTTATAAGAACTAGATGGAATTGCACGGGTACTAGGACCCCGTACGCTGTCGAGTCTTTGCCATCACTTTAAAGGATTCAACCTTGGCGTGGTTTAACAAGCTCGCCCCGGCCTCAATCTTTTCCTTCAAAGAGCTTTTCATTTCTTTCGTATCCCACTTCATAGGGGCTTGAACTTATAGAAAGTCAAGCTATCACCTTTTAAATGTGAAACAAGGACCACAAGAAAACCTCAGGTCATATGTCCAAAGATTTAATTCGGAGTCGTTAAAGGTGGATGTCCCAGACGAAAAGTTCGCCATCACTGCCTTCATAGCTGGTCTAGGGGTGTAGTCTAAAGATTTGATGTTCTCCATATCAAAAAATCCCCAAACAAGCATGGCTGAGGTGTATGCCAAAGCGAAGAAATACATAAATGGCGAAGAAGCTCTTCTTTCTAAGGTAGGTAGCTCTTCCGCACATAGAGACAAAGGGAAAGGAAGAGAAAAAGAGGAACCGAAGTCCCAGGAGAGAGGGGGAAAGAAATAGATCTCTAAAGAGAGATAGATCTCCCAAAAGAGACAAAGAGTGATCCCAAAAAGAAGGGGGAACGTTAGAGACCGCTTAGGCCCCCCGCAGCCTATACTACAGCTGAGGTATGCACCTCAGCAATATACCCCTCTCACTGCGACAATGTCCTAGATCCTATACGAGGTGCAGAATAAGAAATTCCTAATGTGGCTTCCACGAATGAAAGCAGATCCATCTAAAAGAGACCTACGAAATATTACGAGTATCATAGGGATCATGGCCATCATACCGATGATTGCATTCAGCTAAAGAAGGAGATCGAGTTCTTGATCCAGAGGGGACAATTACGACGATTTGTCGCCCATGACAACTAGAACATGGCTCCACCATCACTGACACCTCAGCAACAAGCCCCTACGCAGCACCAACAACCCTTAGGAGAGATCAGAGTGATATCTGGAGGATTTGCTGGCGGTGGAGAATCTAGTGCAGCCAGGAAAGCACACCTGCGGAAGATTAGAGCTGGCGAAGCGCTGGAAGTACACACAGCGTCCAAAATACCTTGGTTGAGCACAACCATCACTTTTTTGGATTCAGACTTGGAAGGTTGTCAGTATTCCCATGATGATCCGTTGGTAGTAAGGGCCATTGTGGCTAACCAAACGGTTCATCGAGTTCTAATTGACAATGGGAGCTCGACCGACATCATTTTTGCATGTGCCTTGACAAAATGGGCATAGGAAGGGAGAAGCTTGAGCTAGTGAGTGCTCACTTGATAGAGTTCT